AAGGACTGCAGAGATCCTCCCCTGCTCCTGCTCTGGATTGTTCTGTGGTTCTTCAAATGCTCTTTCAGTGCCTTGCATGAATTAGTAATCCTGGGTAAAAATTCTGAAGAACGAGGAAGTGGGAAGCAAAGAAAAGTATCAGGACTGATCAGGTCCTTTTAGGGAATTATTTGATGTTTGGCAAGAGAGCTAGAAGGGAACTAGCTTGTCTCAGAGACATTTTACCTTCTTCCTTTCTCCTTGGATGAGAGGAGAAGGACAAAAATGACTTCCAGGATCTCTTTGCATTCTGTTGGCTGCACATTCCATGTTTGATGTGGGTGCCCACTATAATGACACCACGAGCCAGAAGACATTTACTAAAACCTTTTAACAACTGTAGAAGCTTTTGGTTTTAGCAGCTTTTGTTTTCCTGTGTTAATAATCTATCAGGAGACGGGAGGAGAAGAGAATTCAATAGTGTCTCAAGACTGGCAAGAACAGCAGATTGGGTGAAAATGTCCAATTGATCCCAGGAAACTGATCACATCAAAGGAAAGCAAGATTAGATAAAGCCCAGCTGACCCTCCTAGTGGGATCAGGAGGGCAAAACCCCAAACCAATTCCTCAAACCAGTGCCAGGACAGTGTGGACAAAACACAGCACTGAGAAAGGGTTTTATTGAAATAACTCAGAGCACTACAGCTCTCTTCAGTTTTCCTATAAAAACACTTACCCAGCCTCAGTATTTTCCTATAAAAACACTTACCCAGCCTCAGNGCGCGGCACGAGGGGCTGCAGACCCTGGTGGATGCCCTGCCAGCAGTCAGACACAAGGTCAGTGCTCTGGGCTGTCCCACCCGTTGTCACCCAGCAGAAAGAACACTTGCAGAACCACAACACACCCAGAAAAGCTTTTTTCCTTAAATTTTACTGGGGGGGCTGAGTGACACCTTGGAAGTGGGAAGGGAGGCTGATTTTTCAGGAGGAATTCGATTCTTGAAGAAATGCTGCTCTTGAGATTGTTTCCCTTACAAGGACATGCTTAAGTGGGGGTTTATTTACTGTGGGATTAAGGCTTTTTGATTTTTGTCTGATCTTTGAGGAGGTTATTTCCTTTTTTATAAACACTGAGTTTTCTGCTGGGGGAATGGGATCGTTCCTGGCAGGCTCCTGCCAGGAGAGGGAGCGCTGAGTCCCTGACAGAAGCATTTCCTCCTTCTCCTGCCCGTTCCCTTCTGAAAGTACACTCACAAAACCACATCGACCACTGCAGCTTCTAATCTCATCCAGCTGAACTCGCTGTGCCTCTGCTTCTCACAGCAAGGAGATTGTAAAATCCCAATAAAACAGGTTTTTGTATCAGAGCAGTGACAGCTCTGCCAGATAAACACCAAACATGTCAGTTCAGTGCCAGAAGACCTCCCCAAATCTGAATGGACATCTATTGTGATAATATAATAATTTAAAAGAAATTTAGCCAAGATCCCCCAGTATATCCTGAAGCTCCCTCAGGCGCAATCCTGGGTTTTGAAACTCCTGATATTCCACATGTGGGAATGAATTTTGGAGATGGGAATATTTGATTTAATTAAACTTCAGTCCTGTTCCTGCTGCCTAAAAGCACATGATGAAAAGTAAAACACTTTGTTTGCAGTCCTTTAAAGGTCTGGCCCAGCTACCTGAACTTATCTCACCCCTTCTTCCCTCTTTTTCCTGCTTGCATCAGCTCCCACAAAGCCTTAGGCCATTGATCCTTCTCACTCCTTCTTTCTCCTGCACTAAATTCCTAATGTGGGGACAGTAGAAATATTTAACTTCTGTCTGCTTAGAGCTGCCCCTTACACCTCAAACCCAATTTTACAGAAATTTGGGGGATTTAAAATAATATTATTAATATTCCCAACACCCCATTTCCCACAACATCATTTTTAACCACACTGTCAAGATATTTTTCAATTTTCTGTCCGTTTTTTTCTCAAAACCCCTTAAAAACATCCTTAATTTTTTGTTTTTTCTTTGCTATTTAGGACACTGTGATCGAGTTTGATGTCTTTGATCCCTCGTGCCTGCTCCCTTCGTGCCCTGATTACTGGACCTACGCTGGCTCCCTGACCACTCCTCCCCTCACTGAGTCAGTCACGTGGATCATTAAGAAGAAGCCAATCGAGGTGGATGAGGATCAGGTAAATCTCAATTTTCCTTTCACATCACACCTCTTGCTGCCACAAAGGTGCTCAGAACCAGTTTGCCAGCAATTCTCTGTGAAAACACAAAAATTCTGTTTTCGGAGATCTGTGTCTGTTTCAACCCAGGATTCAGGGAGGAATCCTGGCATTAGCAGCCACTAATACTGAAAGACCTCTCCAAGATGTTTTTTCAACTTTTCCATCTATTCTCAAGAGTTTTATTTTGATATGTGATACAATTCTGGAAGCTGCCCCTTCAAAACTTGGAGGGTTTTAGGAACTTATTGGAATTCTCATAATTTTGCTCTCCTTAGCATGATGCAGCCTTTTTATGGAGGGAAGGGAAAAAGGGAAGATTTTGTGAGATGGAAGTTGTTAACAGAGAACTGCAGGCAGAGTGTGGCATTCCTTTAAATTGAAGTTTTTCTGTTTTTTTCTTGGCTCTTTGCTCTCATAGCAGTGACTTACCATTGGAGTGGCCTTGTGAGCATTAAAAGCTGATCTGCTGCTTTATTTTAACCCCAGTTATAACCCAGTGATACAACAACCTGGGCATTGTTGGGGTTCCCTCTTTTCTGGGTGCCAGGGAGGCTGTGAATGGAGGTTGGATGAAGTATTTGAGTGGGA